TCCCAAAAAGGGGTGTTCTTTTATTGGCGATGACTTTACAATTGGAAATCGAAAACAAAATGCCTCCAAGGGGCGCAAGCACACGAGTTACTGAAAAAAGTGTTTAAGTCTAAACTAAGGAAATTAAAATTATATGTTCTCTGTTCGAGAGTTTTTGATTCGGTGCTTTGCTCTATGTCTTTTCTCCCTTTTATACTCCATGGATGATTTTTTGTGATCAACCGCTTAAAAACTGCTTGATCGTTCTGCAACTACCCACTTTCCTCGTAATGGCCAACTTGTCATGAAAACTGCCTTTTTTAACTGCTGCCATTACTCTTCGTCGTTCAACCGTTTTCGATTGAATTCCTTGAATCGTGGAACGTGATAAGGCTGCTTTAATAACTGCTTTGATAACTGCACTTCTTGATAACCACAACGCTTTATGTTTGTTAAGACTTTGGGCGACTTGAAGGTTTGGGCAAGAATAGAGTAACAGCTCTGGGAGACTGCATGACACTCCATTCGCTCAGATTCTGGGTGACTTGCAAACTTGGGCGATAGCGTTACCGCGTTCTTGGGCCTCCCTATTTGGGCCTTCATCTTGAATTGTTTGATTGGACTTCGTTTTTTGGGCTATCTGATTTGGGGATCCTCCAATTGGGCTTCATTCCTTGGGCCGTTCGATTTGAGCTGAATTTTTATGTGTCAACAATGAACATCTACTTTTAATAATCAATAGTTCATTCAATATGTAGAAATCGTGATTACAATCAAAGGTTCGTTTTCTCTATCTTCCCTTTTCTTTTTCAATTTATATTTATACGCGAATTAAATTTTTCAATGTAAGGAAATAAAACTAGTTTATTAGGTTTCTGTTTGTTTATATTTTGCTGATTAAATTTCTAGGAGAAAATGAAATAAAAAGTATGCTCAATCATCAATTTATCATTCTAATGGAGATTAGTGATTACTATTGTATTAGGTCTGTACATATTAGAGTATTAGATCTTCGAATTTTGAATTTGACATTTTTTAGTATTTGGTATCTTTATTTAATTGTTTGTTTCATTTATTTTTAAATTATCATTAAGACAATAACCTGTAATTTTTATGTAGATTGTAACAATATGAATTGCAAATAAATTTTTTTTTTCTACCCTCTCAGAATGAGCTTCTGCTAGCATTTAATTTTGACCTTGTATATGTACATATACGAACTTGACGACTTGTTAATATTCTGGCATCCATTTTCATATCCTTTTCTCTCAAACAAAAATCGAGATCTGGTGATATAACTCAGGGGCTTCTGAAAGACGAACAGGTGGACGGGAAATTAACAACCAATAAATCTAGTAGGCGGGATCAAGAAGCTATCAAAAATTGTGCTATTGTGCATCCATGAACGTTCTAAATACTTTATACTTCAATTCAGTTATAGACAGAATATATAAAAAGTGAAGTCCAAAGTAGAACAACAAATGTTCAAACATACTAATGTAAAATTTTCTACCGACTGTAATTTTCAACTTATTTGAGGATAAATTGAAAGTTTATTAGTTTCAAGTCGTGTTAGGGTAACATTTTATTATTCAATTCAACAATCCATAGATGTTGTATATACAAATCAAATCGAAATTCCATTTTCTCTCCAAGTTGGAGAAACCTTAACTGTAATGAAATTATCCTCCAAAACTCCTTGAATTCACAAGTGAATTAAAATTAAAGTCATTAATTTTGAATGCATATATTGAAGACTCTTAAATCTACTGTAAGTTTAGATTAATTGTATATATGGAAAAGTGAATTTTGATAATACTATTTTGTTAAAATGACATTTTTTTCATACGTCTTGTTATGAATTGCTACGCTAGTAAAATAATTATGTTTAAAGGCCTCATAAAAATTAGCCACCATGTTAACCACATTTTGTTTGGTGACGGAGCAGTGTAACGTGTGCTAGCATACATGGCAAATCTAGTCTCTATTTCTTCTTTTCGTTTGAATTGTCCTACAAGAATTTTGACATCGATTTGAATTAATTTTTGTCCTTGAACATTCTCCTCACATGTAAACTGGGTTTGTTTTCCATCAAAGCGTCAACACATGCTCAATTTTTATAAACTAGTGGCGAAGATAGTTGACCACATTCCCTTTATCTATTTTTATTTTATCTATCAAACAAAAGTTTCATTTATTTAAATAAAAATTTTCACATCTAAAATAAAGTTTGCATATAAGGAAGTGTTATGAGTTCAGATTTATTGTTTCAATTTTATGTTCTCATGACTTTACTTTGATATGGTTTTGACAAATCGACATCACTTCTTAACAAATAGAAAGTCGTCAAGGTTTAATGTGTTGAAATGTCAAAATTTTGTTGACATATTTCAATTCACTAAAAAGTGATGTGTTAAGGTATCAAAAATGTATGGAGAGACCATCAAATGTATTCAACTTTATGTTTTAATCTCTAGTCTAAACTCTAAAGTCTACCCTTTTTAGTTTATCTGTCAAACAAATTTCATTCATTTATTTAAAATCTAACATCTAAAATAAAGTTTGCATACTAGGAAGAGTGTTATGAGTTTAGATTTATTTTTCCAAATTTGATGTTCTCATGACTTTACTCTGATATAATTTTGACACATCGACATCACTTCTTAATAAATAGGAAGACGTGAAGGTTTAACGTGTCGAAGTGCCAAAATTTTGTTGACATTTCGAATTTACTAAAAAGTTAGGTGTTAAGGTATCAAAAATGTATTTGAGAGACCATCAAATGTTTTCAACTTTATGTTTTAATTTCTAGTTTAAACTCTAAAGTCTACCCTTTTTATTTTAACTGTCAAACAAAGTTTCATTCATTTATTTAAAATTTATAATCTAAAATAAAGTTTGCATACAAGGAAGAGTGTTATGAGTTCAGATTTATTTTTCCAAATTTGATGTTCTCGTGATTTTACTCTGATATAATTTTGGCACATCGACATCACTTAGGAAGATGTGAAGGTTTAATGTGTCGAAATGCCAAAATTTTGTTGACATATCGAATTTACGAAAAAGTTAGGTGTTAAGGTATCAAAAATGTATAGAGAGGATGCCGTCAAATGTGTTCAACTTTATGTTTTAATCTCTAAAAGTCTGCTCTTTTAATTTTAAGGAAGAGAAAATAAAGTAAGTAAAATAAGAAACAAAAAGGCAGCCACTTGCTAGTTACAAGCTTGGGACCATTTACTGCGCGCCGTGCATGCTAAAAGCGCGTTTTGGTTATCCCTCCACTCCTTTGATCCGAATTTTCGGACTTTTTTATCAAATTTAAAACTTATATTCATAAATAAATAAACTTTCAGTTGTGGTCAACTCCCAAAAAAAAAAAAATAATAATAATAATAATAAAATAAAATAAAATAAAATCCAACCCCAGCTGTATAGTTGTTTTTGTTCGTTTTCTTTTGTCGCCCACTTGAGCTGAACTTGGGTCACGGATTCGCAAACCTTTATATCTACCATTATATAGAACGTATATTGTCCAGGGAAAAATGGCATGATGGCTTGACATTCTCTCCACCATAATTGACAATCAAACTCAATGATGGTACGAGGGCTGCACTCGTAAGGTAACTTAATTCGATTCCTTATGGCACAAACTGAACGACAATGGAGGTCGTCAACCTTCTTGATCGTCCTTTGACTCTGACCCAGATATATATATACGCTAGTTGGATATTTGACCAGGAATTTTTATAAATTATAGCTCGCAAAATCCCCACTCCCTTCCAAAAGGTTGGTGAGAAATTGTGATTCTTCTTGCAAATAGGTCAAAGAGAGGCAGAAGAATCCATTTCGTTTCACGAGAAAAGTTGGCCCTTTTCCTTTGTTTATATCAAACCATAGAAAAGGAACATCAAAATGCAGTTTAGGGGCTCAACGCGTCGACTACAAACTATAATAAGCCATGTTATTTTGGTCTATCACTTAAACATTCTAATTAGAGCTTGTCTATTTCTGTTTCTTCAGAGGATTTTCAGTAAAAATAGAGCCGTTGAAGTAGACTGTGGATCCCACCTGTGAGAGGATCAAGCAAAATGATGCCTACTTTTGATTTCTAACAGACAAAAAATCAATTTTTGAGCTCCAAAAATCCTTCCTAGAGGGGCTAAGATAATTTTATCGCTCTAGCATGTATAAAGAGAAGCCTCTTTAATGAAAAACGGCCTCAAACATCTAACTAGAAGTTCATTGTGTCATTTTTACTTGTTAATATATATTTTTGTTTCTTATTTTACTGAATCTAAAACGATTGCAGATCCAGATATTCATCGTATGGAAAAAGAAATAGAAAAATTTGAGTTATATGGAAACTTCGAAGAGGTTAGCGTTTCTGTTTCGAAGATGCAAACTCTTGAAAATTCTTTCAAAAACTCAGGAAAAAAAATTTCAGTTCTGTTTTTCTAATAAAATTAGAAAATCTTGAGAATAACTTTAAGGAAACTTTTGTTCAAAATATTCAAAAATTTAGATTAATAATTACACATTATTATGGACTTTTCTTGGGTTTCAACTAAGAATTACTTAAATAGTTGCACATTTACATAATTCTTATCCATCAACAAAATTATTAAGTTGCTAAGAGTTTGAAATAATATTAAAATAGCTTTTAAAAATGAAATACTTAATTTTTTATAATCAATTATAATATTGTACTACAGTTTGTGCCTTAATATTTAAAAAATAACATTTCTATCTATGGTGTCATCTCCATTTCCGTACGAAGGAAAAATTGTGTTACATCTTTGGATAATGTGTTATTTTCCAATTTTGTATTTATCCCTAGGCTTTGGTTTCTCTATGAAATGGACTCCATGGAGGAAGGGTAAAAAAAAGTAGGTCGAATTACAAAATGTATAGTGGATTAATATATTTATTCATTGATATAAGAGTAAAGTGGCATGTGGTGACTGGTTAGCTCAGAGGTCTTCACATGCCATCTCTCATTTCCATGTTTTTTGAGGTTTTTAAGAGAATCAATGGCAGATGAAGACCACCTGATAGCTGTTCATGAAGCACAAATGAAAACCCTATTTTATTAATTTTCAAAAAAGTGGAGGCTTGGGAATGGTGAATCTTTGAAGATAGCATAGCAGAAAATTTTCTTGTTTCTTTAACTTGTGCCTTTTTGGCAATACTAAACCAGTTCACTGACACCTGTTTCCACCATTTTCTCACACATTTTTACACTGTCCCTTTTTCCTTCTGATGAATTTAGGCTAGAAACGCATTTCGATTAGGGTCTGATTCTTCCGATTCTACTCTTTTTCATTTCAAAAGCCATATTGGATTGAAAAGGCGCAAACTGCAATCTTATATTCTTCATCTTCACTAGCTTCAACTTTATCTTTTCGAATTCCCTTTTAGCCACCAAACTTTCTAGAAGTTTAATTATTAGCTTTTCCATTTTGTCTAATGAGTACGTCAATAAACAATTATTGCTAGTGGCTTTGCATTTTCCTTTTTCTCAAACAGTCCAATCCTCCCCAAGAACCCCAGTTTGTCTTTGAGATCAAATGGCTTATTTTCTGTGTTTTTTCCAGGGCTTAAAACCCTGGATTGCTGTATTTTTGAGCTTTTCAGGCAATGGAGTTTTATGGGTTTCCATCACAACTTTTGCTTTGATCTGCTTGCCAACTCTTATTTTCACTTCCTGGAAACAAAAACCAAGCCCGCTGGTGCAAGAGAAATCTTCAAGCATTTCATCAGAATGTTCAGCTGATGTTATTGAAGTTGAATCAGTGGAAGCAGAAAATGATCCAATCATGCAAATTAACCTAGAAAAAGATGACAAAGAGCCTGACGATCGTGAAGAATATTTGGTTAGATCATCACAAGATCTCTATTCAGAAAGTGATATTGCAAGTATGGATCAGTACTCAACTTCAAGCGAAGATTCTGATCGAACAAATTACTCGGGACAGAAACAACCAGATTGCTCGGACGATTCGATGTCGGACGAAGAAGGTCTGATTGAAATAGCCATCCCAAGTGGCCAATATCTTTCTCCAGAAAAAGAGGTGAAGAAGAAAAGGTTAACTGATTTCTCTCAAGAAGCCAAGTTTCAGAGTATTCCATTGGAATTCTTAGCAGAAATCAATGAAATGAATGAGGAAGATAACTTGATTGAGATTGACATTTACATGGGATCCATCAAGTGTTCAAGGTTTGCAATTTAAGCTAGCCTAAAAAAAAGTGAAATAAAAACAGCTAATAATGTATTTTTTTCCCTTTAATATCAAGGTTTTTTTTTTTTTTTTTTTAACAATTGATGAATCTTGCAATATTTTTTCGCCACGAAAGTAAAGTACAGAAACTGAATTTTCAAAGTATAATAAAAAAAAATGAAAACTAAAGAATTTGAATTATTTTTGTTTCTTTTATAATTTTTTTTAAATTTTTGGTTTTTTTTATTTTTTATGATTAAGCTTTTTAAATTTTAGAATTTTTATTTAAATAATTTATTTTAAACTAGGAATGACAACAGAAGCTGGGCAAGACCCGCATGGGATTATATTGCTCCGACCCTCGTTGTGAGCATCCTTTGCCACGTTTATAGTTTTTTATTGTAATTTGGAAAATGGACTGATGGTCTTGGATAATCAGTTCAGGTTTGCGCATAAAAAAATTGGGTTAGGCATATTTTCAAATTTGTTAGTCACTAAATATCAAATATTACGGTTACAGTTAAATAATTGGTCATACGTAAACCAAATAGTTGGTTATATACAGCAAATATTAGGTCACATACAATAACCACCAACACTGTCATCACAGCCACTGTCACCAGGGCCATTGCGACTACTCTCACCTTGTCACCGTTGCCACCCCCACAATACCACCACCACTACCAACACCACAACATCTCCACAAACAAGATTGCCACCACTAGATCCAATCTACTACCAATAACATTCATGTCAACCACCTCTACCAGATCTTCAGTCACCAAAAACCACCTCTACCACCAACCACAACCATTATAACATTCAACCATTATCGCCACTCTTGCACTACCACTACTGCCAATAACAACCTAACAACCAAAACAATCACCAACGAGAATAGAGATGTGCGAGAATAGAGAACTTCCATCTCCATCACATCACACCACAACCACCACCTAACAAGAAAACCTCAAATCCATCACTGCCACCACGTCGAATCCACCGAGAACGAATAATAGGCCGGAGGTCTTGGAAGTGGGTGCCACCAAACCGCCACAATAATGCAGCGCCTCTCACAGCATCATAACCCCTCATACTGCAAACCACCCAGCACAGTTGAGCTCGAGGTAACAACTCAGCAAACCACTACTCCATTAGAACGGATCGAGGCAATGCTCAAACCACCATACAAAATAAAACTCCAGTAGATCGAATCGAGGCGACGTTGCAATCAAACCATTGAAAAAAGAAAAACTTTAGCAGCTCAGCTCCACAACAGCAAGCAACGTTCTTCGCAGTAAGCGTTGGTACCATGCTGGTGCTTGTGATGACGACAAAAGAGAGGAGATGTAGCGAGAGAATGGAAATAGGTAGATTTATAATATTATTATTAATATAAATAATAAAATAAATTCCTGATATTTGAATAAATTAACTTGATATCTGATTTACGAATAATAATCTTTAAATATCTGTTGTGGTGTAATTTCTTCATCTTAATATAGGTGTCAAAATGGGTGGATTGACCAACTGAAGTACGTATAGATCAAGTGACAAGCCTAAATTAGTCCATTTAAAAATATCGTTGGACAATCTTCCAAATTTGTGAACCGGATGGCCCATAGACCTAATATTGCACGTTAGCACCAGCCCGGTGCTAACCCATCATTTTTATAATCCTTCTAGTAAAATTAAATGATTGGAAGAAATAAAAATAAATAAAAAATTCTAACTGATACTTTAGCAAATCAAAATGGTACAAAATTATTGATAAATCAAGCTCTCTGTGTTGGTCCAAAAACCAACTTAGCATGACTGCCATAATTCACACATCAACCCGTGAACTAGCCCAAAGTTGAATGGGCTGATATTTCAATCTAAACGATCTGGGCCTATGTGTGTGTGAATAACAGGAGCCAAAAAGAATACGAAGTGATGGATCTTTGTTGGACATTTGCTATGTCATAATTTGATTTCTTTGGAATATACAAACATCATCCACTAAAGATCGGTTTAATTCCCTAAATATCACTGAACTTTGCCAAAAATTTTCATATGATCATTGAATTTCAAAACTTCTCTAGGTAGCCACTCAACTTTGCAAACTGGAATTCCATCTATCAATGAATGGATACCAGTTGCAAAATTTAACGATTTTGATGACGTGTCCAAAGAAACTTGTGATGTGGCACGTTTGTGGACAAATTTTATGCCAAGTGAAGAAGTTGCTGATGAGGTTGACTACCTCTGATAAGTTGTATTCTCTTTAAACACGTTTCTCTAAAAAAATAAAAATAAATAAAAAATAAAAAATCAATTGAATTAAAAACAAACTTCCTTATAACGTGACCCTTATTTTACCCCCAATTTCACAATTCCACCAATGCCGATAAGCAGAAGCCAAAAATTGGTTGCCAAACCAGAAATCACCTACCCACAAATAGTGGAGAACATGTAAATCGCCCCCATCCATCAATTACCAACCCTTAAAAACCAAATCGCAACCCCAAAATCTCCAAATCACGACTAGTTTGTGCATCATACCAAGTGCTCACCTCCATAAAGTATTGTACGTCAACGATTCACTTACATAAATGCATAATGACATGGCATATACTGAATAATGTAATATGATCATAAAATTTAACAATCAATCCAACCATAATCAATTTTCGTATCAAACATGTTATATAAGTTAATACTTGACAAAGTACAAAACTGAGTAAACGTGAGATATCTTGTCCATTGGTGAGGTATATTAGACCCCAATTGTCAGGTGGCAAGACCTCACCAGTGGGTACGATATTTTCTGCCCACTATGGGCCAGAGATTAGACTTGTGGCATAGTAACCATTTAGTCTATAAATGAATCTTGATGCTACATTCAATTCCGGCTTATTCTCATCTTCCCCCATTTTTCCTCTCGAAAGTCAGCATATTCAAGTATTACACAAACATAGAATTGATAGCTGCAAAATTTGCCTAATAAGATGTAAACAAAGAACGCCTAAGCTGAAATCTAACATTTATTATCACATTACAAGTTAACAAGTCATGCAATTCGTAATAGTGAGAAATTTAATATAATTTTTGCTAAAATGACAAAAATACCAAGTCAACTGTATATAAAACAGATGGTTCGTAAATTACAGAACTGAAATAACAGATTCAAAAAGCAAGTTACTCAGTGTTAGCTGCACTGCTCATTCTTTTATCATTTACAAATCATCGAACTGGAACTTTAACCCAACCATTAGCAAAAGCAATTGCTAAAATAACAAAAGGCGTCGACATGCCAAATATAATGATATAAGGAAGTGGCGTCTTCATGGGATTTTCGCCTTCCCTTTCGCCTGCTGTTTGCCAATACCTAGAACCAGGTAAATGTTTACCTTTTCTATTTATTGATTATAATTGAAATAGTAACTATTTATCAAAGGGCTTATCAAAATAATACTCATGGATGTCCTATCATTATGCATCAAAAAAATTGAAAAGGCATGCATAGACAGGTTTGAGCACGTTGAAAGAGAGTGCGTTATATCTATAAATTACGTGGTTGATTAAGACGGAGGGGGGTCCACATTGGCCGACTCACATCAATTATTTAATTGGAGTGGACCTATTAAATCAAGAAACCTCGTCGTGGGTTTGGAACTTGACCCATTAGCACCACTTGGCCCATTTTCATTTCACTATATATATGTGATCCCTTTTACACCTAAGGTATGTTATTTAACCCTAGCCAAATTCTCTATCCCCTCTCTTGCACTTAGCCTATATTTCGTCCGATCATTGACTTTACCGTTGGAGTGCAAATGGTCACCGAATCTTATCCTCGACTGGTAGCCTTTGCCTTTTAGCGGGGTATTTCAGCGTACAAGCAGGGACGGATTTTGGGGGGAGGGGGGGGGGCCTCTCAGGCCCAACAAATTTTTTTTAAAGGTTTTATTTATTTTTTTTGCTAAAAAATCAATTTTTTATGTGTAAATTTTTTTTTTGCCACGTAGCAGCAGTAGCTCG